TCGGATGCATGTAAATTGAAACCAAAATGATCGATAAGATGAGTGCGACATGTGCATAAGGATGTGTGACAATGTGCGTGTGTCTGTGTTGGTATACGAACAGAGTGATGTGTTCACATCTCGTCGGCACAAGCTGGAGCACAGTTACAGAGGGGGGGGGCGGGGGAGGACATCGATGCACACACAACTCATCATCATTGGGCGAGTGTCGATTCGCACAAGTTGTCCAGTCGACTTGTGAGTCATCGAATGATGGAGGGCGTGAGTGAGACCTAGAAACATCTTAAAAGGAAATAGGCTGGGCCATGATAACTTCAGGGGAGTCCCTTTCCTATCTGCATATTCCAATCACGCCCCTTTGTCCAATAACCTTTGACCGTGGCTGTATAATTACATGCATCATTCTCATCCATTCCAAAAACTTTAGGCAACCAGTAGCGTCTAGGAGATAATCTTCAGACGCATTGAAATGGGATCGTATTGACGCTTTGACCATAAATCGAAATGACCAATGGGTAAATCTTGCTTACGACAAGTTACCAATGAAACGCGATTACAATATCCTGAGACGTAGTCCATTAGTATAAAACCCTAACACGACGACGGAGATAATTAAAGGTGAACTGAAAATTTCCCCGCGGAGCTTAATCATTTTCATATTTATACCCCAAGGACAAGATCAAATCAGAGTAACTCATGTTTCCTCCACTGCTAGCTGATATCACTAAATACTTACGAAGGATGTTCATGAGTTTGCCAAACCTCTTTCTCATAAAATGACTTGTTCCAAATCAAAGTGGCTTCAGGAGTTGTTTGCATAAGGATGTATTTCACCTTCGCTACTGAATGGATTATGGATGGAAAGGAAAACAGACCAAATCACTCTATTAACTTCAGCTCATACCACCAAAAACACTACGAACTAACCTCTAGCTGATACGTCGACTTGATATCTATGTTCTCTTTCACCGCTCAAGCTAGCTCTCTTGGATATGTGGTGCACAATCAACAGAAGGAATAGCCTGAGCGGAATTTAAAACCGTTGATCGATAACCAATTATCTATACTTGACTAAGAGTTTGTAGCGCTGGAAAGTGTACAATGACAGTTTGAGAGTCCTAATGTAATGTTAATTAGTTTGTGACAAGGTTTAAGGAATCATCTCGGTAATTATATCATTACTAACACCATTTTCTGTCAGGTTACTAAAGGAACCTGACAACAGGATCTTGTTTCAGTGCTAAATGGAACATTCACAAAGAGCATACGAGATCACGCACAGACCAACAAGGCATGGGATTAGGCAGTTTAGGAATTGTTTGGATTGTGAAGAGTTCAGTAGCCTTGGTGATGAACTTTTTCACAATCCCAACATAAAAACTTCAATCTGCCAAACAACCATTTGCACAGTTTAGGAGTTGGTTGCTGAAAACTGTCAAGACCAATAGACGGACGTGTACCATGGTAGCCAGAATGTTCTATGTTACCTCAGAGTCGGAAGTCAACTTTGTCGCATGTTGCTCGGATATCGACTCAGAAAACCGGAAACGTTTCACTTCAATATCCAATTAATTTTTGGAAACCAGAGGTGCTTTTTAGCCAAATCATCAGCACTATGAAAAGACAAACGGCTATAAATCATGAGGGTTGCGGAGGATTTGATCCGTTTTTTATGCGGACAGAGCAAACAAAAAGTGAATTGAAAATCTAGGAAGCACTGAATAGCTGTTTCGATCTGTTGGGGTCTCATCAGCTGTACCAGTCCGGCAACCCAACTGAGGTTCGACTCCGGTACCCCACAGGTAGAACGTAAGCACAAGACCCATTGATTACGGGAAGCTGATCGGTTCGTCTTTCATTTCGTTCATATATATATATATATATATATATATAAAATCTTTTTCAGAACCCATTTCCGCAAGCCGTTTGCAGGCATCACACTTAACTCAACAGTATGCTTACGTTCTTCCTGTGAGTTCCCGAGTTCAATCCTCAGTTAGGTCGGTGAATTCGTACAACTGATCAGATCCAATCAGGTCGAATGAGCTGAGGAGTGTGTCCTCGTTCATGAACTCCGGAGAGACCAATGGTCTGGATTCCGTGCTTCCATGCAGGTCCAGACAGGGATTAAAAATTGAGCGAATAGCATAAAATTATCCAATCCGATTGCGTTAATGACCAGAGAATAAATTAACTGCGAAGACATAAGCGAGAAATGAAATGAGAATCGCCAATTACTTTACAATGGTAACGTTATTAGTTATCAGATGCGTGGTTTACACAGCCTCCATCAAGGATCGAATTTTAACATGCTGAAACTGATTCATACAAGACTTCGATAGATGATCTTGCGTGTTTTGATTGGTCTTACACGATGTTCAGTGTTGCACTTGAGATTGATATGCCACCACCCACCACTCACTTGGTGTATGTGGTGATCTTCCATGTGGATGGATGGTGGTTGTGTCCTACAACACACAGTGGATTACAAACACATCTGAATAAGTAAATAATCATCAATGCGGTCAGCTTAGCTAAGCCATCCTTATAGTATATTTGAACAAAGAGGCTAAAAACACAAGTTTGCACATTGTAAGCAGAATAATTTTGATGCATTTGCACACGTGCATACTGGACGTTATACGGGTTGGGTAAAAATAACCCCGCGTTCAAGTTGTAATGCTTTGGTAAACCCATGCGAGGGACTGTCGATTCAAGAGAATGTATTAGGTTTTGCGTCAGTATATTTCACACACAATTACAAAAGTTTTCCATTCTGTACATCTAATATTATCGTAATTAACAAATCTAGACCATACACCTGCCCAAACGCTTCTTCCCCTTCTGTAAGTCTTGAGTATAGGTTTCAACTTACCCAGTCTTTCGTCTCACATGGACCACGAATATCATCTTTCTCCGTCACTCACACACAAATTCACATTCGCACAATAACCCCGACTCCTCGGAACGGTGTCACCCGAGAAATATGATTTAACAGTCAGTCCCGGCACCCTCGAACTGATAGTGTGATATATTACACAAGCAAGAAGACACACACACTTATCCATTCCACATAAATGGATGTAAGCCTAGATCCAACCTCTAAAGTTCCACCTCCGCATATATATTGTGACATGATTATGAATTATTAAAAACAACTGTTCACCTGGAAAGGTAATCGAAATGCCTTTCCGGATCTAATTTGCTTAGTGTTTCAGGTCTTTTCCCGGTGAGATATGCCACATCTAAAATTTGACTAAGAATAGTTTTACACAATACAATTTCCCAATAAGCCTCAGTAGTAGCACTTTAGCGAATTTTTATTTGTTTATTCCAACGAAATCATACCCTATTTCTTTCACACTCCTCTAAATTAACGTAACCACGGTCGCCCTTTCAGCGTTTATTAGGAAAAGCTCATAATGAGTTGTGATTTAACTCTGTCTACTGATTCCCAACTCAGATTTACAAGACCTTACCGGATTGAACTGCTGGGGTACCGTCGCCTCGGCTTACTCATCCTACTGGAAAGGATTGGAGTTTTACAACGCAAGCTTGGAAGAGGTGAATCTTCCACCGGCACTGGGTGGCAGTTGGGGAAATACCCGAATGAATGTATCGGCTTCCGTTATGGAGTACGTTGACATATTACACGCAGGTCAGTGAATCAGTGGTCTTATTGTGGTGCATAGCAAGAGGTATCTCAATAATCCTTACCATTTATTTGAATTACCAATGAGCTTGGTTTAACCATGAAGACCTTACGGTCATACGCGACGATATATAGTTGATCAAGATGAGTATGAATGATCAGAGAGATAGATAGATAGATAGATAGATAGATAGATAGATAGAT